ACTCTGCTAAGCACAGGGCTTCTGGATTGGGTTAGAGGCAGGGCTGGGCAGGCCTTGCTTCTGGGCTGCTGAGTCCTGCAGGCTCCCCCTGAGTCCTACTGCCCCTGGCTCCTGTCATCTTTGACAGGCAGCCAGGAGCAGATCAATATTAATTTTCTAATTTTTTTTAGGGGCCCCGCAGGCCTGATAGATTGGGCTGGCAGGCCGAATCTGGCCCGCAGACCATATTTTGCCCATCCTGATCTAAAATATGCAGATCAGATCATGTGAGGCACCTCCTCTTTCTTCAGTTTGCTGCTGCTTTTTCAGTCCGTAGTACTTGAACAGAGACCATAGCTGTAGTAACTGCCTTCTGAAGCACCTAGTAAATGGACACTTACAAGGCAGAAAATGGACAGGTATACTGGCTAGTAAGCAATACATAAATCAGCATAGGCAATAATGCTGCTATGGAATAAAGCTAGCATCAGTTTAAATAACGAAGTAGCAGTTATGAGAGTCAGTGGTAAATATGTAGAAGGGGTTCATTTTTAAAAGCAAAAAGGTGGTATACACACATCTGGGTTATACCTCCTAGAGGCCAGCAGCTTACTTGCTTGACCCATGTGTTTCAAGGTATTATAAACCTCTATATAGTATCTGCACTATCTGTAATGTCCTATGTCAAGCAGCCTTGCCTGAAATCTTAAAGGGAGTCAGTAATTGGGTCATACCAGCAAGCTAATAAGCTGTCTGACTAGATACTAATCAAGCACTACACCCTGCAGCAAACCATGTCTGCTTCATCCTTTCTCAGGATACAGGTTATCGAATAGGGTTGTTTGAAATAAGCTTAATTTCCTTCACACCTGCACATAACAGGACAGATTCTAACCTGTGCTGTATAGGAGTAATACTGGAGTAAGTCTTTTAAGGTCAATGTAGATTTACACAGAGGTAACCAAGACTAGGTTTTGAACAGATACGTTGACAACCTGCCATGCCTGGCAGAAGGAACAGAGAGGGAATAAGGGAACAGAGAAAGGAGGCAGAATGTAGAAAGGTTGTTCTAAAAAGTGTCTAGTTGAAAGGAAAAAGAAATAAAACTGAAACCCAGCAATTTAATGTTGCACAACCATTTTTGTCTGAACAATGTACTTTCCAGGTCGTCGGGCCTGCAAAGTTACACTCTGTCTGGACACCTGCGGTTCCTAACTAGAGTTTCAATTTCACCTCAGCAACTCCAACTGAAAAAAAAGCTGGAAAAATGGATAGCTAGCCTCAGGCATTTCTATACATAGTGATGAACACGGTGGGTGTAGCTAGACAGACAGTCCTAGCCACCTCATAGCCTCATCTTATGGCTAGTTCAACCTTCAGGTTCTCATCCACAGTGTTCCCTGCTCTGCTTATGCTTAATTTGCACTGACATTTTAGTGATTTCTTTGCAAAAGGTGGTACCCACAGAGGGAGAGTTTAAAAACATTATTCTAACCATTTAGGATCTTAGCTCTGTGGTGGAAAGTCCAGGAAGTTACGTGATTGAGGCTCCTGATTGCAAGGGCAAACATCTAGCACAAGGGTTGGCAATGTTTTTGGGCAGAGTGCAAAAACACTCCAACCTCAGTTTGTAAGATGTTGGTATGCTAGGGATGGACAGTGGGGGAGCCGTGAAGGGCCTGATCCTTGTTGTGGCAGCACAGCACAGCACAGCCCCATCCCCTTCCATGCTGACTGCCCTAAGGCATACGTGCCAAGCAAAATGCCTTTATATGCCATACTCTGGCACACGTGCCAGGGGTTGCCAATCCCTGATCTAGCATCTAGCCTCCCCACAGCCTTCAACTTCAATCAGTTCTATACAAACCAGGATTAGTACAGAACCTCAAAAGGAATCAACCAGTGGGTCTGACTTTCCAATGCCTTACACCTTGTCAGTGAACTTACACCTGCACTGTAGTAGCATTTCACACACACCTGCATTCACTGTTACTCAGGTGTAAAGCCAGATCCCCAAAGGTACTGAAACTTAGGTACTGAACTTAGGCACCTACATAGGAGTTAGGTGTCTAAATACCATTGTGGATTTGGTCTAAGTTAGGACAAGAGGCAAAGCAGAGGAGAATCAGGTCCCATGGTTCCCTAGGGAGCTCAGGCTTTCTCTGCAGAGCTCTCAGTCAGCATATACTCCATACCACTCAGCATGGGAACACAAGCACTGAAACCTTACAATAGTGCTTCCATCTGTCTCTGAAAGGAGCAGAACTTTGTGACCTGAGGGACCCCTGCAGCTGCATTTGACAGCAATGTCTGATTCAGCCCAGCCAAGGTCTACAAGGTAACCACTTTTATCTTCTTCAGGCGATGAGCAGGGATGTTGAAAAATTAACAAGTATGTGCTGCTTACATGGGAATTTTAGCAGAAGGAAATTGTGAGGGAAAACAACAAACAGTGCTAGTGAACACAACATGAAAAACTTTTAACCTTTACAATATGAATCCTGAATGCTTGTAATTTATGGTAGAAGCCTCTAATTGCATTAATCAGCAGGGATCCTGGTTTTCCCTGATAAAAAAAAACCTCAATTTTCATTTTTAAAAAAGTAACCCAAAATCCACATTTTAATCAGAGAAAAAGGGGGGATTTTTTTTTTTAATCATAGAAAACCAGGATCCTTGCTGGTGATAACTAATGCAGAGGGTTCAAAAAACTCCACAGCAGGATAGTACATGTATTTACCAGTTTACTCCAGCCTAATAGGGGCACACATGTAGACATGCAACATTTACTGCACAGCTAATTAGTCTAGTCCACAGTAAACATCTCATGTAGATGAGCCTAGTAGGTCAGTGCTGGCCATGCCCTCTACCAGGAGCCTGGGCAGCACAGAGCCACTTAACTCAGGACTGACGTTTCCATAAGGCAGTAGACAGTCTAGGGGTTCAAATCTGGTGCTTGGCCCTCAATGTTTATAAAAGTTTCTTTCATCCAGTCAATGAAACAGAAATAATCCCTCATGACTTAAATGGCCAGTCACAAATATCACAGTATTCATTAATCTAAGGCATTATTTTAAAATAGTTGCTTTGACAACTTCTAACCTGAGATGAGTTGGCAGAAAGCATTTGAAGAATTTCAAATGACAAGTTAATAAAGAGATACTGATACTGGAAAAATTTATGAACAGAGGAAAGATTAAATTTCATCAGCCAGGGTTGCTCAATTTTCTTGAAGCTCTCTTGAAAAAAATCCCAGCACCTTGTTCAGAACTGCAAGAAGTATTTTCTGTTCTAATTTTAGAGCAAATTTAAGAACCTAGATGTATATATCCCCACCTTATTCTTTTTCTTCTCTGCATGGCTTGCTGTTCCAGAATTTCACAGTATCCTGCATATTTATCTATTCAAGCTTTTTACAAAGATCCTCTGCAGTCTGGCAGCGACAGTATTGCTGTATTGATTTAGGAACTAGCAGTTGTGACAATTCAGTCACAGATTGAAGCTAGCTCTGTATGTGGGCTCTGTCCTGAGCAGAATTCTGATCCCAGTTGCTGGTCTCGCATTTAAAAAAAAAGAAAAAAGAAAGAAATCTACTTTTATCTGTTATGCTTTGAAGGGGAAAGGATTACAAAGACTAAATAAGCCATCTGAGTACTTAGCTAACAATCCTAAATAGCACCCTGATAGGAAGTTCTGGCAGGGAGCTAATTAAATTAGCCCTCTTTGATTGATTAACAAGCAGAGCAACATATCACACAGGCTTGTCCCACAAAATGAATAAGCATTTTGATCCATGTGTTTGCTTTGGAGCTTTTACTCACTGCTAAGCCTGGTTATGGGACCCATATTTAATAAATCTTTTTGGCTTGAGCAAGGTCCCTTACCCACCAAGGTAGAGCTATATTGGTCACAATATACAAAAAATGTATTATTTTACATGCACACTCCTGATTAGTTTTTTTTAATGTTTTGGACAATCTAGTGGTTAATTAGTAATTTGCTGCCCACCAACATGCAAATGAATGACAAGGAAAGGCCTTTTGCATCTGTAATTATTCTGTTGATTTACAAGCTACTTTTCCTTCAGTGTTAGTTTCTCTGTGTATGTGCATTCATGCATCATGTATTTCATTATTTTTAGAAGCAGGCTCTGTGCCTTTTTATACTCTTCTAGTTCCAAGCATCCAGTAATTACTATGTTTTGGATGCTACAGGACTGATCCTTCCACTCATGAATCAGAGGAGCAGCACTCACTTAAACAGAGGTATGCCAATGCACACCCCTCACCCTATCTTTTTAGGAAAAATGTATTGGTGTGCTTGGACTCTCTTTGCTGGGAAGTAGTTGGAAATAAGATTTAGAAAGCAGCAGGGTGACAAAAATCCTAATCGCAGTGCACACGCACATAGATTTATTTATATAACCAAATTGACTTCTGCTTAATCCCAAAAAAGAAATTGTAATTCTCTCCTAATATTTGATTTTTCTCTAAGATGCTTTTGTAAGTAAAACACAGAGTCTACTGAATCTATTTTGCTACTTTTTAATAGTTTTACTGGTGGGTTTTGTCAATGCTTTACATTTAGCGTTGGTATTAGAGAGCTCTTTTGTTAAATTAAGTCAATTAATAAATGGAGACATTAAGCAATCAATTTTGTCTGCATATCTCCACAGCATTACGTATGGCTGGCTGTAATCACAAGATAAATGCAATGTGCTGATGTATGGTAATGTTCAATAATACATTCTCCACCAGGCTCAATTCATCAGGGAGTTTCTGTAGGGGAGGCATTTGTTATTGGCTGTCTCTGGACCTCAAGGATAACATTTCTGTCCTTTTGATTGGCTGACCCACTGCTGCAAGATTCTAACCATCTTATTTTGATGATGAATATGAAGGCATGCTAAGCTGTTCAGGAGTGTAGTTCTTGCAGCCTGCACTCCTTTCCTAGTCTCAAGGACTAACAGTCTCCTTCACTGCTTTCCTTACCATCCAACAACAACAACAACAAAAGTTGTGATGCTTTTCTTCACCCAGTGTTTTGGGGCTGTATTAGATCTTATTCACCTAAGGTTTCAGCACTACAAGGCTAAGAGGGTTTTCTCAGCTGCTGGGCAACTTGTCTGTGTTGTAAACCCAACACACAGCCTAAAGGTGAGTTAAAATATTTTTTTCTGTTCCAATCTTTATCCTTTCCTAGTCAGTTGTTTTTTTTCCACAGGGAGTGAAATGATGTTTCAGCACGATAGTAGATGCTGTTGTTAACACATTGCAATCCCGGTGAAGAGGCTGTTTGTGTTTTTTGAGTGTGTTACTTCAGAGCAAAGGGAAAGCCATCAGTTCCTAAAAGCAATCCTGCAAAGTTCTTACTTCAGCTAATATTTTTGCCTTCTTTCATTTGTGTAACAGAGATTCAAGAGACAAATGTTTGGCAAAAGAATTAGAAAAGTTCAATGAAAATATTTCCTTTTGTAAGATATTACTAATGTGATCCTAGAAATCCTTCCAAACTGTCTCATACCAGAGTACAATGTACTGATGACTGGCAACTGAGAAGGGGTA